AGAGCGAGAGAGAGATAGAGAGAGATAGAGAGAGAGCGAGAGAGAGACACACAGAGAGAGAGAGAGAGAGAGAGACAGAGAGAGAGAGAGAGAGAGAGAGAAGGAGAGGGAGGGTGTAACATTAAATGTATAAACCATTGTGTCCCACCTTTAGAGGAAACGTTTTGTTGAGGGAGGGGGGGCGGGTTGTTTGTTTGTTTTGGGGTTGTTGTTTTTTTACTGCTTTACTTTACGTACAAACGTCTGCGCTGTTCTACGTCAACGAAATAGAATATTTCCTTTGTTGTAGACTTTGCCTTCTTGCTTTCCTCTATTTCTTTCTTTACCCTTTGTGCAAAGCACCTTTTATTCTTCTTGGGTGAAATGAAATGACGAACAATGAACAAAAACATCAAATAAAAAACAAAAAACCCCCAAAAAACTAAACAACCCAGGAAAACCATAAAAACCAACAAAAACACTCAAAACAAAACGATCCCGCAGTTTTACCCCACATTTGCTCACCTATAGATATATTTGTTGTCCTCGTTCTCAAACAGCTCCTGGCACAGTCCCTTGGAGGTCCCCTGAGGGTAAAGGACCCTGGACGTGATGGCGGTGGGCAGCGGGGCTGCCAGGGACAACGCCCAGATGATGGCCATGATCACAGCGAACGCCCGTTTGGACATCTTGGCCCTCATGGGCTTTAGAATGGCCAGGTAGCGGTCGATGCTCATAGCCACGAGGGTGAAGGAGCTCAGAAACACTGCCACCACCTGGGGGGAGATGAGGTGAACATTGTTTGTTAGATTTAGTACAGGTTTTACGGCCCTCGCAACTGCATAAGGTCATAAATAATGAGCGCTAAAAGGTGGATGTCAACAGAGAAGTCCGTACAGGGAATCAGGCTTACTCTGTTCACCTCTCTCGCTTCAACAGCACAAAGTCTGCTTCGACTATCAAGGCACCCCAGAAATAGCGGGTCAAAAGAGTGTGACAAACATACAAAAGGAGTAGAGAGTTCATCTTTCTGAGGAGTCTCACTATGTAAAAATGACCATTTTAATTTTGCTCAGAATTTTAGACAGTATCAATCAGATCTAACTGCATCGTGACCACTTACAGGGTGATCCAAACAAAAAACCACCAAACAACAACAAACAGTTTGTGAGGCGTGTTGACAAAATGAGTTACTTCTCAGATTTTAGCCCAATGGACATAGTTACGTCAAATGTATCGGTTGAGTTTGTACAATGTATTTGTATGAAATGATAAAAGAAATGTTAGACTTGAAGAAAACGGCATCGGTTAATGATCTAAAAATTTGACCCCTAAGTCGATTTTTGTCCCCTATCTCCATTCGTGGACTGTGAGAAGTAACTCATTTCGTCAGCACTCTTCACTATTGGTGGGTGAAAATCGTTATACAGGAAAAACGTCATGAGAAAAGCGTTATATTATTATACTATATTATGTCATAGTAAAAGTCATCGTTAATCTGTTCACTAATGTACAGAACAATAGCATAATAATTGTAAAACGTTTGTCTTTAAATCAGACAACGTAGCTTTGGTGTTGGTTGAGAAAGGAAGGGGCGTGGGATAAGTTGCAGATGACGTTTGCGTCTTTTCTCCATTTCTCAACTGTGCATTTTGATGGGAACACCGTCCTGGTGGGTGTAGAGAACGATTGGGGGCTCTCGTGGCCTAGAGGTTAAGGTGTTGGCCTCTCATTCAAAGGTCCCGGGTTCGATTCCGGGTAGCGACCGAAAAATTTTCTTCTCTAAAATCGTCTCCTTTCACCTTCTTTCCTGCTCTCTAGCAATGTTCTGTTGTCTGCTTTCATTTCCACTTTCTGCCCTCACCCCCTCACCT